TTGTGATTGATGATCATATAGATGATCATAGGTATTGGGTACGATCACAATCATAGGTATTCGTTGGAGAACAAAATACTAGATTGACCCGCATGAGATTGTCACATGGACTAGCGTCATGACTTGAATCTCAGTACGATCACAATCATAGGTATTCGTTGGAGAACAAAATACTAGATTGACCCGCATGAGATTGTCACATGGACTAGCGTCATGACTTGAATCTCATATGGCGGTTCCTGGATCCTAAGACCTGAGATATCTACGAAATCCAACATGAGGAGTTGCGTGCTTTGAATACGTCAAACGTCCTGCGTAACAGGAGGACTATAAAGGCGTGTATTAGGTACGAAACGAATCATGTGCTGGATTGTAGATAGTCAAGACGGGATTTGTACCTCTCGTAAAAGAGAGAGATATCGTTGGGCCCCTCGCGTGAGCGAGACTATAGAAATGTGTGGTCGCACTATAGATGAACGTCGTCTATTTCAGACAGTCGAACTCAGTGAACGAGAAAGCAGTCGAACCAGATAAGGTGGCTTGTCCATGCCTTATATTCGACATATGATATCGTGATACAAAAGGATCATCAAACGGAATCATCACTGGCATTCGTAGGATCACGAACAAACTCTATTCGAGATAGGTAGTCATAGTGTCTTTCTAGAGACCGCCTATGACTTGTGTTACCAAAATAAGAGATTCCGGGTTATACTGCTATATCGGATGAACCTACAGGGTCACACACACAGGAAAGGACGAATGCGCGAGAAGAGACGAGAAAATCCCGGTGGAGCGGAGGCCAGACCGACCGGTCCAGAAGGTCCAGACCGATCGGTCCAGACACGTGGACCGGTCGGTCCGGAGGTAACGTGTGAAAGTCACTCGGTCCGGAAATTGCTCCCGACCGATCGGTCCAGACATGGACCGATCGGTCCAGACATAAAATAAGCTCCAGACCGATCGGTCCAGACGTCGGGATTTCCTAAACTCGCTCTAATTAGGGTTAACTTTAGGGAACGCCTTGGAAGCCTCTTGGCACGCTTTCAGACCCCATTGACAGGTTTTGAGAGTTGAAAACCTAAGAGTTAGATCCCTAAAACCCTTGCGCAAAGAAGAACGTGTTCTTTAGTCCTAGCAGACAAGTTCCAACCGTTGGAATCCTTTCCGCCGTGTGGATACGTGTAGAGGGCAAGGTATTCTTCCTGCCTACAGTGATCGGACGAACACATCAATAGATTCAGGCCCCGGATCGATTGAGGTAAGCGTTCTAACGTTTCTACAAGATCATGCATGTTAGGTTTTAGGGTTTTTATCAAATTTTTGTTTTACATCCACTGCGCAAACCCTAGAACTGATCTCTTAGGAGTTAGATTCGCTCATGAGATCCCAGAAAACCCAATAGTGTCCCAGGATTCCAATCTCCTGTACGCGGGTTACGGGTGTCACATAGCAATTGGCAAAATATTGTACTAACGAGATCACCTCAGATAGAGACGCGTAACTTACAATTCGTCTATGGAAGATGATCCAAGAAGTATTGGGGACGAAGCTCAATATGAACATAACACAACATCCCCAGATGGACGGACACTCGACACAAATCATCCAGACTCTAGAGGACAAGCTTGGAGTGTCAATTGTAGGGTAGTTATGTGGGACCAATACTTGATGCTACGTGAGTTTACGTATAATAACAACTACCATGAAAATATTTGAGTGTCAGTGTATGGAGCATCATACGGAAGACCAAGCGAAACCCCGATATGTTAAACAAAGATCGAAGACCGTCGAACCTTTAGACCCAAAACTATATCGAAAACTACAAAAGTAATCAAGAAGATTCGCACAAATCTGAAAAACCGCCCCTGATCGACAAAAGTCTTATGTCAATCATAGGAGATGGGGCAATGAGATCACAAGGTAAAAAAAAACTATGATGTATCGGGTCATGCCCTACAATGGCAAAAGTGAGAATCGTGACATACCGTCGAGGACTATCGCCAGATTTAGGTATCCATGACAACTCTATGGGTCGATACTATGTAATTATGTAGTTGATCCCTCTCAAGTAACCGAACTACAAAGTGGTTGAACCTACACGTGCTACAAAATTTCGAGATGCGTCACTGCAATCCATTGACCATAAGATAAAGAAACCACAGACCAAGGAAATGTCATTCGTCAAAGTCATATGAAGGAGTCAAGGGGTCTCGGACATGACCTAGAAACCCGAAACGGTGAAGCGTAGTATGTACAACCATTCTACAACTGAACATCGTACAATCTCCTGTCGTAATGTCAAGGGAGTGACAAGTGTTTTGGAATACAACGGTATTCATTACGTCTTGCATTTCTGAATTCGATGACGAATTCTTTTTAAGGGGGGAGGATTTGTAATACCCCGGATCCCGAAGTAAATATTTAATTATTTTCGAGAATAAATAATTAAATAAATGCGTATAATAATTCGGGAATAGAAGTGAAAAATAAAATAAAAAAGAGTACGAAGCTGGAAAACGTCAAAAAAAAGATCGAAAAATAAGCGAAGAAGAATGTTAAAATTCATCGTTGGTTAGGGTTGAACAAAAAAAAACTGGTCAGCCGGACCAGAGTCGGATCGTCGGACCAGAACGAGGAGGAATGAACCAGAGAAAGAAAAAAAAAGAAGGGAAAAACTGAGTTGGTCAGCCGGACCAAGTCTTGGTCAGCTCCGGACCAATTCAGTCAGCTGGACTTGGACAGGATGGACGGACAAGAGGAAAATGAGTGTAGTTCGGACTTGGTCAGTCGGACCAAAATCTGGTCAGCCCCGGACCAAGTGATAGACAAACTGTCGGCAGACTTTTGGTTCGCGATTTTCTCACACATGGGCGGCCACAACACACTTAATGCGCACCAAACCAACAAAAGGAGACCCCAGCTATCTCCTACACTCGTCCAATCACCCTAAAACTCTCTCATCTACCCTAAAGACCCTCTCAAACAGATCAAATCAACCATTTTCGGACTGAAAATGGGCAGAGAAAGAAAAGAGAGGAAAAAGAGAGAGAGGGAGAGAAAGAAGAGAGGAGGAGGAAGAGGGAGCTCGGGAAGACATTGAGGAACAACCCTTGGATGTCTAGGAGGAGATCTCAAGGCGTTGAAACACAGAAACATCAACCAAGCTCGACCAAATCAGATTCAAAATGAATCTGATCCAAGAACAGGTGAGTGGCTTGAGTTGCGTCTGTGTAAACTCGTTTTCATCGATGTGATTGTGTTATCTCGATGATTCGTTGATTTAGTTTGAAATAGGACATTTCAATGAGAATTTAGAAACAAACGGCGCTCACTTTGGCTGAGAAACGAAGGAGATATGAACAAACGAAAACTGTGGAAAAACTGAAATTGCAGAATCGCGATTTTTCGAGGTGCAGGCGTTACGAATCGTTTTTCATCGTGTATACACGAGATTTAAATAATCTATTGCTTGGATATAAAAAAGAACATCCCAATGAACATTTAGAAACAAACGGTGCGCGATTTGGTTAAGAAACGAGTGAGTTATGACCAATCGAAGTCGGACCAGAAATCTGAAAATGTGAACGGACGAACTGCCCAGTTCTGGTCCGCCGGACGTGGAACTGATCAGCTCCGGACCAAGTCCGGAAAATATTTTTAGTCTGCCAGACCAAGGAGAAGAGCTGAGGAAGCCTGGTCCGATCCGGACCCGAAACTGGTCCGGCGGACCAGGCCTGTTTTGGACCAAAAAATGGTCCGATCAACCGATTTCTCAGGGACGGACCGGAGCCGGTCCGCCGGACTAAATCCGGTCCAGACCTGAAAAAATCTAAGAGGAAAGAGAAGACAAAAATGAACAAATTGAATGAATACGTGTGGTAAGACGTGAGAAATAACACTGCGAGTGAATCGTTGTGGGTTTATTTTTGGGTAGCATTGCATGGCGTGTGAGGCTGAATATCGTGATACGTGGGATTGTAGCCGGGGGATGATGATGCATGTTGAATGCTATGATTGAAGCTCACTCGTGCGATACGAGGGGAGCGTGATTGTGATTGTACTCCGATGTGTCACAAGAGGTGACATCGGCCGTTACCAGTGCGGTGACAAGCGCGCGAAGCGCATGATGATCGCGAGATGCGATGGCCAACATCATGTGATATGACGGGCGTGCGAGGCGCACCTAGCCATGCGATGTGGCTAGGATTGTAGACTATACCTATGGTACGATGCCATACGGTTTTGTTGATCGTGAGATGCGATGGTCAACGTCATGAGATATGACGGGCGTGAAAGGCGCTCCTAGTTATGCGATGTAACTAGGGTTTATGGCTAACCCTATGGTGTGAAGCCATACGGGATTTCATCGTCGTGCGAAACGACGACCAACGTCATGAGATGTGACGGGCGTGAGAGGCGCTCCTAGTCATGAGATGTGACTAGGGGTTACGGCTGACCCTATGGTGCGAAGCCATACCTACTTGATTGTCGTGCGATGCGACGGCCAACGTCATGCGACGTGACGGGCGTGTGAGGTGCTCCTGGTCATGAGATGTGACCAGGGTTCACGGCTAACCCTATGGCGTGAAGCCATACGGGAATGAATATGATGATATTCTGATGTGATATGAGTAATATGTTTAATGTTGAATATTATATTTTATGTTTTATCGTTTTAACACCGTTCTCGCAGAGAACGGGTTTACCGGATTCAACCCGGCTACTCACTAAGCGGTTGTGCTTAGCCCTCGTGGTTTCATCTTTTTCAGATCACGAGGAGTACGTGTAGCATATCTAGACGACGAGAAGACTTGAGAGAGGCAGCATCACGTACGGATTTGATTTGTGTTAATTTTTGAAAACGATGTTTTCCTTTGCATTGTATTTTAAGATTGGACGTGTGATAATTCAAGGTTGTATTAAACTATTCCGCTGCGTGTTTATAAAATAAAAGTTTTAAAATTCCCGTATTTTTGTTTGGTATTATTTTGATGGTTTTAGTCCATGTGATGCATCCTGTTTATGAGAATCGGGATACGGGTGTCACAGTGGACAATGGCGTCAGCGGTGTTTAAGAACGGTCGTCCTAGAATAATCGGGATTTTGGAGTCTTCGTCCATGTCAATCATAACGAAATCGACAGGTACATAGTAATCGCCGACTTTCAGCGGGATGTCCTCGAGAATACCGAGAGGATATTTGACAGAACGATCAGCTAGTTGAAGAGCCATGCGAGTTGGTTTGAGTTCTCCCACGTTGAGTTTCTTGTAGATGGAGAGTGGTAGGAGACTGACACTGGCACCTAAATCACAAAGAGCACAATCTATAGAAACATTTCCCAATTTACAAGGAATCGAGAAACTACCTGGATCTGACATTTTTGGTGGCAGATCGTGCTTAAGAATGGCGCTGCACTCGGGATTGAGCGTGATGGTTTCTTTCTCGATGACTCGTTTCTTTGTGAGAATGTCCTTTAGGAATTTGACGTAGGATGGCATCTGAGTGATAACCTCGTGAAATGGCATAGTAATCTCCAACTTACGCACCATGTCAGCAAATCGAGCAAATTAGGTGTCCTCCTTAGTTTTCTTGAGTCGTTGAGGGAAAAGAACCGCAGGTGGACGTGGTGGCGGTGGTATGTATACATCGCGTTCTTCATCACCCGATATGTCTTTCGATTTTTTAGCCGCTATGGGGTCAGGAAAAGATGTAGGGATAGAGTTAGAGCACTGACCTTTCTCTGTAGATATGATGATAGGATTTACAAGCTCTTTGCCACTTCGCAAGGATATAGCATTACAGTGCTCTCGGAGGTTTGCTTCCGGATTCCTGGGAAGTGATCCCTGAGATCGCGAAGGGACAGAGGCAGCAAGTTGCGCTATCTGGTTGTCAACCAGCTTGAGATGGGCGTCGGTCTTCTGCTGATGTTCTCGCATCTCGGTGCGAATGACTTCTTGACCCTGTGATGTACGCACGAGGAGGATGGGCAAGGGGAGTTCAACCGCAATCACCGGCTCACGGGCGTGGCTCTCGAATTCGCGGAGGAACAAGGGCAATCGAAGTGGATTTACGGTAAAACGATTCCAATCACCGGCTCACGCAAAGTGGCTCTCGAATTCGGAAACGTTTCAAAGGAATGGAGATGGAAATCAAAGTGGAGGAACCTCGGATGAACCAAGGAATGAGCCGGACCAACCGAGCTCTAAGGGGTCCGTCGGACACACCGGACGGCTTCACGGGCGGCGGACACACCGGCGGCTCGTGGAGGAGGCGGAGAAACCAGCCAAGTCTTTGAAAGAGAGAATTCTCAAACACAAATCAGATTAGATTGATCAAAAGTGCTAGTGATTACAAAGCTTGGAAAGAGTTTAAGTAAACAAAGCATTAAATGCTAGCTTACATGCAAGCCTAGTCTTAATTAAGGATCAAACAACAAAGTATAGCTGTTGGGACATTATATGGGCCAAAATTCTTGAGTAAATAAGGCCCATGGGCTTCACTTGGGCTTTAGGAGATGTCTTCTTCGAGTATAAGTAAGTTCCGGGTCGGATTTCGTCTGAAAAGTGAAATGTCGACTTTGGACTCTCGGGATCCGCTAAGAATGTGATTGACGGCCTTGGTGAGTGTGACACGAAGCGCTCGAACTCTAGCACGAGTAAGTGGTGGCTCGGCTCTAGGGTTTGCTCGGTGAGCCTCTGCGTTGTGCACGTCAAATCCCGGTCTCGCGGCTTCGAATGATCTTGTGACGTTATGATCATCCGGCAAGAGTCTTGACGCCTGATGGACCAAGTCTTCAACATCTTCTAGAGCTCCTTCCGTTAAGCTCCCGTCCAATCTGCTAGCTCCGATGTCCTCATCATTCCCTCCCCCTTCAGAAGATTTCGCCCTCGAAATGTCGTGACCTGCATCAAAAGAAGATAAATCAGTAACATTAAAAGTACTAGACACAGTATACTCACTCGGTAGCTCGAGGCGGTAGGCATTGTCGTTGATCTTCTCGAGTATGCGGAATGGTCCGTCTGCTCTGGGGTTTAGCTTGGACTTGCGCTTTTCTGGGAATCGTTCGGGTCGGAGGTGGAGCCATACCCAGTCGCCTTCTTTGAATTGGACATCTTTTCATCCCTTGTTTGCCTGGCGAGTGTATTGCTCAGTCTTGTGAGCAATGTTGTCTCTAACCTTTTGATGGAGTTTCTTAACGAATTCAGCTTTCCTTTCGCCGTCAAGGTTCGTAAACTCCGTATTCGGAAGAGGTATGAGATCAAGCGGCGTGATTGGATTGAAGCCGTAGACTATCTCAAATGGGGAGTTCTTAGTGGCCGAATGGACCGCTCTATTGTACGCAAATTCGATATGCGGTAAACACTCAACCCATCCCCCGAAATGTTTCCCGATAGTAGCTCTCAAAAGTGTGGATAATGTCTGATTGACTACGATTTGTCCATCCGTTTGAGGATGACAAGTGGTCGAAAAGACGAGCTTAGTGCCGACTCGTTTCCATAATGTCCGCCAAAAATGGCTCATGAATTTCGAGTCACGATCCGACACGATCGTCTTTGGGAGACCATGTAGACGCACAACTTCCCGAAAGTAGAGATCTGCAATATGCTTAGCATCATCGGTCTTAGCACATGGTATGAAATGTGCCATCTTTGAAAACCGATCCACTATGACAAAGATGAAATCCTTATGTTGTATTTTCGGCATTCCAAGCACGAAGTCCATCGAAATGTCTACCCAAGGTTGGGTGGCAATCGGTAGCGGCATGTAAAGACCATGAGGTTGTACTCGAGATTTTGCCTTATGACACTCGATACACTTAGCACAAAACCTCTGAATGTCCCTCTTGAGATGTGGCCAATAGAAATGCTCTTGTACGATGGCCAACGTCTTATCTACTCCGAAATGGCCAGCAAGTGCGCCGCCATGAGCCTCGTGGAGTATGATATCTCGCATCGATCCTTGTGGGATGCAAAGACGTTTTTCTCGAAAGAGGTACCCATCTTGTAGAAAAAATGGGCCATAGGCACCACGACTACACTCCTTAATGATGGATTCAAAGTCTGGATCAGTCATGTATTGTTCCTTAAGGAATTCAAATCCAAGCATCCTGGCTTCCATGACTGATATCAACGCATAGCGTCGAGACAATGCGTCGGCTACGACGTTGTCCTTCCCTTTCTTGTACTTAATGATGTAGGAAAATGTCTCGATGAATTCAAGCCATTTAGCATGTCTCCGCTTGAGTGAAGTCTGTCCCTTGAGGTGTTTAAGGGTCTCGTGATC